CGGCAGAGGGGTTAGTGAGGAACGACCAAATGACTGAACAAACAGGCCAGCCGAGGGGGCAATTAGGGGTGATCAGGCCAGCAGAGGGGGGCAGTTGGGAGCGAGCAGTCTGGCAGAGGGGGCCAGTTGGGGGCGATCAGACCGGTGGGGGCAGAAGTCGGGGGCGAGCACGCCAGCAGTGGTTGGAAGTGGGGGCAAGAAGGCCGGCAGGCAGAGTGGTTGGGGCGATCAGGCAGGCAGGCAGGTGAGCGGTTAGGAGCCAGCAGTCCCGGATTGTGAGAGGGATGTCTGACTGCCGGTTTAGGCCCGATTCCAGGGATCCCCCAAGGGGTCCCAAATTGGAGAGCGTGCAGGCCGGGCTGAGGGACACCCCAACCCTCCATGCATGAATTTCATGCACTGGGCCACTAGTATATATATTTCATTTCAGAGAGAAAGGGAGAGGGAGAGAGAGATACAAACAACAATGATGAGAGACAATCGTTGATCGACTACCTCATGCATGCCCCACACTGAGGATTGACCTCTCCTGGTTCTTAGGTCGATGCTCAGTCACTGAACCATGCTGGCTGTGCCTATATTTTTTTAAGTCATGTATTTTTATCTTTTTTTCTTAAAGAAGTGTTTTAAACATTTTTTTTAGTACTGGTTTTGTCTAGCAAACACTTTATCTTTTCTTTGATTCTAAATAATAGGCTTGATGAATAGAGCAATCTTTGTTGTACTGGTAAGTCCTTGCTTTTCATCACTTTGAATATTTTATGCCAATTCTTTTTTGGACTGCAAAGTTTCTGTTGAGAAAACAGCTGGTAGTCTTATTTAAACTTCCCTGTACTTAACTAACTTCTTTTCGCTTTTTGCTTGTAAGATTCTCACCCTAGCCAGTTTTGCTTAGTGGATAGAACATTGGCCTGTGTACTGAAGAGTCCTGGGTTCAATTCTGGCTAAGGGCACATGCCCAGGTTGTGGGCTGGATCCCCAGTAGGGGGTATGCAGGAGGCAGCCAATCAGTGATTCTCTCTCATCATTGATCTTTCTATCTCCTTCTCCCTTTCTGAAATCAATAAAAATATATTTTTTAAAAAGATTCTCTCTTTGTCTATAACCTTTGGCATTTTAATTATGATGTGTCTTGTTTTGGGCCTCTTTTCTATGCTTTCTGGACTTGTATATTTCCTTCTCCTTTTTAGGGAATTTTTCAGTCATTAGTTCTTCAACTAGGTTTGTAATTCTTTGCTCTCCTCTCTTTCTGGTATCTTTATTATGTGAATTTTTGTATGCTTGATATTATTTTAGGAGAATCCCTTCAACTACTCATTCTTAGAAAAAAATTTTTTTTTTTTGCTGTTCCTATTGGTTGTTTTCTATAACCTTGTGTTCCAAATTACTGATTTGATCTTCTGCTTCATTGAATTTGCTTTTTATTCTTTCTTGTGTATTTTTCTTTTCACATTGTATTCTTCAGTTCTGGTTGTTTTTTTTAAAATGATCTTTATGTCCTTTGTGTGTCTTTGACATTCTCACTAAGATCCTTGCTAAGTCTCGCTAAGTCTCTTGAAACTCTCCTTAAGTCCCTTGAAGCTTTCCCTAAGTTAATGATGCATCCTTATAACCATTGGTTTGAATTCTGTATCTGGTATATTGCTTGCCTCCATTTTGTCTAGTTTTTTTTCTGGAGTTTTGTCCTGTTCTTTCATTTGGGATGCTTCTTTTTCTTCTCATTTTGGTCCACTCCCTGTTTTGTTTTTATTTATTTGGTTGATCTGCTGTGTCTCTTGTACTTGACAGAGGTACCTTATGTATAAGGTGTCCTGTGGGGCCAAGTGGTGCAGTCTCCCTGGTCATCTGAGCTGGGTCCTTCATGGGTTTTTCTTGTGTGGGTTGTGTGTGCCTTCTTGTTGTAGTTGAGCCTTGATTGCTGTTGGCATGTCAGTGGATGTGATTGACCTTCTGACTGACTGGTTATGAGGGCTGGTCGCAACTACAACAGAGAAACTATTGTTTGGCAGCTGACCCTGTTGGTGCCAGCCATGTTTGTCCTTCAGGAGCATTGTTTGTGGAGCTGGTTGGATGGTGCTCTTGTGTGGTCTGTAGCTGGCCATTGGTATGTTGCCTCTAGAGACTTTTGGGAGGTGGTTTGGTGCAGGCCCAGGTCAACTTTTGCTTGTTTCTGGCTTGGGGCCTCTTGGTAGGAGCTACAGAGTGATCTATGGTTGGTTGCCATTTTTGCTGGGGTTGAGGCACCTGGGAGAGGCTACCCTGAGAACAGAAGCTGGCTGCCACTTTCTGTCAGTTTGGCTTATGTATGAGCTGAGGCCAGCTGCCACTTGTGCCCGGCTTGCGGCTGCTTAGTTGAAGCTATGTTTCAGCCCAAGATGGCCGCTGCTTATGCCAGGTTTGGAGCCACCTGATGGGAATTACAGTGCAAGTTTATACTGGTTGCCCATTTTGCTCTGCTTGGAGCTGCTTGTTAAGAACTATAAGGCACGCTAAGGCCAGCCACTGCTTGTTTAGAGTTTATGCAACTTTGTGAGATTTTGGAAAGGTGTGCTGTATGATCTGAAGCAAGTCGTTCCTGCAGAGGAGCCTCGAGGATCAGGTTCAGAGTTGGGTGAGAGAGAGCCTCAGGAGATCACCAGGATGGAGTGAATGGTTTCAGCCAGGTTAATGGAGAGCACAGATTTGGCATTTGCCTATACTGAGTGTTTGTGGGCTTGCCTATGCTGAGTTCACAAAGGAACAGTGGCACTTGCCAGAATTTTTGTTGTCCCTAGAGAGAGTTTCTCTAACCCCTGCTCCTCCAGCCCTTATTCTGAAATTTGTCCTTGGTGTTTCTTGAGCTGCTGCCCTTGTGCTGGAGCTTACTACAAGTGAATTTGTGAGCTAGTGAGTGTGTGGGTTTTTAAAGAGATTCACCTCAGTCTCCAGCTGCTCCCTATCCTTTATGGATGCAATGTGTACTGTTTTTCACAGCCAGATGTTTTGTGGACCCTCTTCTTGGCACTGATATCTCAAGTTTGGGAGCCTGATGTGGGTTCTGGGACCCCTTGTTCCTCAGGAGGAATCACTGCAGTCTAGATATTCCTCTTGATTCCTAACCACCATGCCCTGGGTGTGGGACCTGCATGTTCCACATCTCCACCCCTCCTACCAGTTTCAATGTGGCTTCTTTACATCCTTAGTTACAGGGGTTCTGTTCAGCTGCTTCTCATGGATGGTGATTGTATAATCTAGTTGTAGTTTTGATGTGGGAGTAGACGAGCACAGTGTTACCTACTCCACCATCTTTACTGGAAGCCTCTAGATTTGATTTGATTTTTTTAGATTTTATTTTTATAAGGAAGTACATTACTAAAAATATGTCTTGAAGAAAGATGTGAATAATTTTGGTCAGTTCATTCTGGTTTACTGATGTTGTTTGTATGTTTTGTGGTGTTTTCTCTCCCAGAAAGAATTATCTCTGTAAATAATATTGTTGGGCTTTATCCCAACTTTAAATTTTGTTGTTATAGTGTATGTGAAAGCATCTTAAGTAATAACTTTGTACATGCATGCTTTTCTATAAAACTGTAAGGTCATGATCTTTTTGTACTCTTTGTCAGTATCAGACTTTCTCACTTCTATTTTTCTGGAGGAAAAGGGAATGAAAAAAAAATTCTGTAGCTTCTGTAAGCTTTGGGTACACAGTGACTTAAGTGTTGACATAGCTCTGATTGACACAGACATTAACCCCTTTCAACAGGCCTTACATTGTACGCTGCAGTTGAATGTCAGCAGGGATTGCCTTCACATAGCCAAGCGTCTTGCCTACAATGTGTGTTCATTCAGCAGAATCCATTTCCAATAATGGCACTACCAATGTTAGCTGTTAACACTTTCCATAGCTGATGATTTCACCTACCTGTTTTTTCTTTACCCTTCTTTCTTGTTAAGTCATATACCAGTATTTCAGTGACTAAATTTGGAAAAGTTGTTAACCTCATTGACCTATGCAGGTGTTTGAAACTGGGTTGTAGAGAATTGGGAAAGAAGTGAGCTTGATACTTAAAATGCTTTTGGAATGAACAGTATTTTTATGTTTCATTATAGTGCTGCAATGGCTCTGTTTGTTACTGGTGAGCATTCTCAAGTTTTAAACACTATAGAAATGGTTCTTATAGCATCCCTTTGCTGGTCAGTTTAACTTTAAAGATTTTTTAAAAACATATTTTGATTTTATTTTTAATGGAATCACTTCAATCTTGACATTGCTTAGTATGATATTTTTATTATTGTAATTTCTTATTGGGGTACTATCTTTTCTTCTTTTCTTCCTCCACTAATTCCTTTCTCCCTTTTTCTATATTTCTTGCTTTTAGTTCGGGGAGTCAGAACAGACTTTCTAGAGGAGATGATGCCTGACCTAAGAATGAAAGACAAGTAGGGTTTAACTAGCCATGAGAGATGGACAGGGCAGAGAAGACTGCATAAGAAGAGGTTAAGGGGTAAATGCTGAATAGTGTGGGGTTTAGATAACTGAAGAATGCCAATTTATCCTGAGTTCTAAATTTTTTAGTTAGAGAAAAATAATGTCATGGATACATGATACCAGTATCGCACCCTATTATATTAAATTAAGGATAATTTTTGGTGAAATTTTTTGTATGATATGTTTGTATTTCTGTGAATTTCCCATATCTTTTCTCTCTCTTCCCCTTAGTTCTATTTAGTAATATCTTCAATTATTTTAAACAGTGTCTTTATTTTGTCATGGCTTATGCAAAGTGAGGAGCTGCCATACTTGTTTCCTTTTGGGAATAAGCATAACAAATTATTGATATTTTACAGATTATCTCAATACTTTTTTAAGACAATGTAATACTGCATAATGTGGATCCTGATTGGCTAACTACAAGGTTCTGAGAGCCCTGGTAGTTACTTTCCGACACTTCAATAGGCTCTGTTTTTGCTGCTTGAGGAGGAAAGCTGATTTGGGGTTTTCTTTTTTGTCTTGGTTCTAGCACATGCAAATGACAATTCAGGCTCTCCAGGATGAATTACGGATTCAAAGGGACCTAAACCAGCTGTTTCAGCAAGACAGTAGCAATAGGACTGGTGAACCTTGTGTGGCAGAGCTGACCGAGGAGAACTTCCAGAGGCTACATGCTGAACATGAAAGACAGGCCAAAGAGCTATTTCTTCTTCGAAAGACTCTGGAGGAAATGGAACTGCGTATTGAGACTCAGAAGCAAACCCTGAATGCTCGGGATGAATCTATCAAGAAACTTCTGGAGATGTTGCAGAGTAAAGGACTTTCTGCTAAGGCTACTGAGGAAGACCACGAGAGAACAAGACGACTGGCAGAGGCAGAGATGCACGTCCACCACCTAGAAAGCCTTTTGGAGCAGAAGGAAAAAGAGAACAACATGTTGAGAGAGGTGAGTGACCATTTTTTCAATTGTTATTACTTACTGTCTTTTTATCATGATTACTCAGCATCTTGCTTGGCCTAAATAAATTTATGTGCTCCACCAAGTTAGTGGAAGGGAATTTTTTCTTTGGTATTTTAAGTGGTTCACTGGTTTCTGTTCTGATTTGCTCTCTTGTATGAGATAACAGTGACTGGTATGTGTACTGGCTTGATAACTTTCTGGGCCTTTCTTTTCCCCTCCTGGCTTCTATAGACACATTTTGTTGCTAGAGAGGCACAGCATTTTTTTGTATTTGTTACTCATCTTTTGATTTGTTCAGAGACACATATGCAACAAAACCAGAATCAGAGTAGCTAACTATTGGTCAATTTTAAAATATTAATAAGAGAAAGTAAGCAGTAACTTCAATTTAGGTGTGCTCATAAAGTCCTTGACAGCAGTAACGGATGTTTGCCTTATGGTTTCCATGGAAACTGTTGCCTTAATATAAAATATATGTGCTAAAAATCATTTGCTGCCATGGAGGCATAGTGAGAAAGAAGGACATATAGGCATACTGTCACTTATAGAAAGAAAACTCAGACTTTAGCTGACCATTGTGGTTGTTAAGTTTTCACTTTTCTAGATAATGCTTCATTTTAAGAAAGCATAAGTAAAAAATTTTTCTTACATTGAATTAAAAAAATTGATAGCTTTATTCTCTACATGTGGTCAGAGACTTCAGATAACTTTCATATCTGGATAGAGAAAAAAAAACAACTTAGAACTGTGTTAATGCCAGTGTGAATAATTCCTTCTTAAATGAAATGTAAGGAAGGAGATTTAAAAAAACTGGAATATTCCCAAGACAGCAAAATGGTAACTTTAAAAGAATACTTTTAAATTTATAGTTTGTTTCACAGTTTCTCCTTTTGCAAAAAATCAGAAATATCTACACTGAGGACATTTTTATTTTTTAAAGAGAAATTCATTTTTAAAAAAGATAATTTTATTACAGAGTAAATCCATTGTACTTTAGTATAGTAAAATTAGAAAATATATTAGCAAAAACTTTAAACCCAAGGTATCAGTACCTAGTGATAAATGTCAGTTTTCCTATGTGTATGCAGCTATGCATAATGTAATGTCACCCACTTTCTTAATACTTTATCTTGATTGTCTCTCTTTATCAATACATGTAAAGTTTTATAATTTCAAATGCATTTATAATGGTACATTGCATTTATTTGAATATCTCTTACTGTAAGTTGAAAATTTAGACCACTATTAACTTTTCAGTATTATCAACTGTGCTGTACTAAATTTCCTTAATCATTTATCCCTATATATTAATTTTTTTAGGATAAATTCCTATAAAGTTTGCTCAGTCAAATAATATGTACATTTTTGAAACTTGTCTTTAAAAATTTTTTTTTATTGATTTCATAGAGGAAGGGAGAGGGAGAGAGAGAGAGAGAAACATTAGTGATGAGAGAGAATAATTGATTGACTGCCTTCTACATTCCTCCTACCTGGGATTGAAGCTGCAATCTGAGCATGTGCCCTGATCGGGTATCGAACCTGTGACCTCCTGGTTTTAGGTTGATGCTCAACCACTGAGGCATGCCAGCCAGGCTATCTTGTCTTTTAGAGTGATTAGACCAGTTAATCCTTCCAACACATACTAACTATATTGTTATGATTAATCTGTAGCAGTGTATATTTTATGCTCTTCAAATAACCATCACATCATACTGCCTTAGAAAGTTTTCTGTAAATTCCCATATTATAAACACATCCTGAGTTTCTTTCAGTTTATTTTAAAGACTTTATATTTCAATGAGATAATCCAGAATCTGGCCATAGTACATCAAACAGCATGCAACACGAAAACTATACCAGCATCATGATGAACTTTGAATGTTACATTTTTACTGCTTCTCTTCTGAATATTTCAACCTATGCCCATTTAATTTTGAGTTTGGGGGTTAACAAATAGTAAATAGCTAAGTATTATGAAAAGTCACCATGTTACTCTGGCAGAGAACAATCAATTTTGGTAAATTTGAAAAGGTGGTAGGAAATCCATGAATTTATGACCGATTTTCAAATAAACTCTACAGATAATAAGTCTCACTCATGTACCTCATGTGGAAAGAAATATAGGCCTTGTTGGGGAGATCCAAAATGATGCAGGAGTAGGTGGTAGACGTACACTTGCCGCCTCCGAGTACCAAACTGGAATTATATCTAAAATTACAGAATAGTCATCTTGAATAACCATCCTGAAGACTGCTGAAGAGAAGTCTTATAACCAAGAATTTACAGAAGCAGCCACACTGAAACTGAATCTGGGACAGACTAAACTTTGTGGCTCTAGAACAGGAGCCATTATCTCCTCACATGCCTGAATGGAGCAGAGTCCTGCCTTCACTTGGCTAAATATTGGTCTATTGAGTCATTAAGCCTCATCCTGATGACTTCCTGAGTCTCCACCCCAACACAAAGGTGTGCAAGCATACCTTCCTGAGTCTCTACCCCAACACAAAGGTGTGCAAGCATACAGATAGACTTGGTAGGCCAGGGAACATTTACTGAGCGGCCTTAGACCCAGCACTGGCACCGAGTTTGAACCTGTATCAATTTGGTAAGCACCAGTTGCCCCTACTGGTGACCCACTGTGAACCTACTTCATACAATTTGAGTATAGCCAGAGGCTCTTTCAGTAACTGAGCCTCTCAGGCAACAAACAGGCAGAAGTGGATTTCAGGGGCCTGGTGCTAGTAAAAGTCTACTGTGGTGAGTAGCTTGGTCCTTCCTGCATACACCCAGGTCCAGCAGAGGCATACACCCAGGTCCAGCAGAGGCAGCCACAAACTCTCGACCCTTTGTAGTTACAAACAGGTTGCCGAGGGCCAGTCATAGGCAGCGTCTGACTTTGGCCTGCACCAGGGTCCCTCCTGTGAGGCCCCAAACCCAACACACCCAGTGACCAGCTTTAGACAAAATCAGAGCAGGATTCAGTAAGCTTCACAAGCAGCATATCCAAAGGGAGATCTTGGCAGCACCACACCCTGCTGATTGAATTCACTTCATGTGGTCAGTACCTGCACAGCAACTCACATGCCATGGTTGGGGTTGAGCCTCACAGCCAGCCAGCCTGAGGGCCCATTCTGCACAGGAATATGCCAATAGCAGTCAAGACTCAGTAACAAACAGGCAAGCCCACATAACTCGCACAAGGACATTCTTGGAGCACCGAATTCAGGTGGTCAAGAAGATTGAACTATTGAACTCCACAAGGACACCTACTACATAAGGCCACCCCATGAAGACATGAAGGCAAAGCAGATCTATATAATACATAGAAATAACAATGAGGAAGCCAAAATGGGGAGACAAAGAAATATACCCCAAATGAAAAAATAGGAGAAATCTCCAGACAAAGATCTAAATGAAATGGAGGCAAGCAATTTATCATATAGAGTTCAAAGTAATGGTTTTAAGGATGCTCAATGGCATGAAAATGGACATAGAAACCATGAAAAATAACCACTCAGAAATGAAGAATGACATAGCTGAAAATAATACACTGGGAGGAATTAACAGTAGGTTAGAAGCAGCAGAGAATCAAATCTGCAAGTGAGAAGACAAGGTAGAAAAGTATCACTCAAAGAAGCAAAAAGAAAAAATACTTAAAAAATAAAGGGCAGTTTAAAGGAACTTTGGGACAACATGAAGTGTAACAACGTCTGTATCATTGGCATACCAGAAGGAGAAGAGAGAACAAGGGATCAAGAACCCATTTGAAGAAATAATAGGGAAACAAAGATGTTGGCATAGATAAACACTGGGAAGTTGCTGCCTCTCACAACAACTTCAAAAATACAACAAAAAGACAAAATGGACATCATCCAGAACTACAGGAAGGCTGGCTGAATGGAAATTCTACAACTAGAAGGAAAGAGAAAAACACACAGAGAGCCAGAGGAGCTGCGGAAGTAAAGTCCAGAGGTACGGAGGCTCGCGCGCGAGGAAAGGGCCTGGCACCTGAGGACGTGGCTGTCTTTTTGAATCGAGAGGGAGTCACAAGCTTTCGACTGCTCTGAACTCCGGCTCCGGGAAGTCTCTGGTGACCCAGGACTCATATGGGGAGAAACTGGACTGTCTGGCAGCAGGCAGAACTCTGAACTTGAGGGCAGCTTTCCCTCAGAGGTGCTTGCAGCAATTACTGAGACACTGAGAATCGGGGCCCTTTAGGGCAGGGCTGAGGATCCGCCACAGATGCTTGCTCCACCCTTTGATTCCCTGAGACCCCGCCCCACCCAGGCTGTGGCAGAGGCTTTTGCATATGAATGCCCTGGCCC